CGGGTCGTCCACTGCGCGGAGCACAGAGAGCTAGCTGGCTGGCTGATAGCGGGCAAGGCTCTTGCCGCTGGGCAGAGCGACGACGGGCGAGCGAGGCGCTGGGCAGAACGCAGCACGGAGCCCCCGCGACGCGCGCAGGTCGCCCCAGAGGGGTCCCAGCGACGCGCACGGGTCGCCCGCTGCGCGGAGCAAAGAGAGCTAGCTGGCTGGCTGGGACCTGCGGTGGGGCTCCATATGGGACCACGTAACGCTGTACTGGGCAAGGGGAACGCATGCGGACTGCGCCACGGGGACCTTCCGTGGAGTTCCCTATGGGGCCACGAAACGTGTGAGGGGTGTGCCGACATGAATGGCGGGGACGCATGCGGACTGTGCCACTGGGACCTTCGGCGGAGCTCCTGTGGGGCCACGAAACGTGTGAGGGGTGTGCCGACATGAATGGCGGGGACGCATGCGGACTGCGCCACGGGGACCGTCGGTGGAGTTCCTATGGGGCCACGAAACGTGTGAGGGGTGTGCCGAGATGAGCGGCGGGGACGCATGCGGACTGTGCCACTGGGACCTTCGGCGGAGCTCCTGTGGGGCCACGAAACGTGTGAGGGGTGTGCCGACATGAATGGCGGGAACGCATGCGGACTCTGCCACGGGGACCTTCGGCGGAGCTCCTATGGGGCCACGAAGCGTGTGAGGGGTGTGCTGAAATGAATGGCGGGGGCGCGTGCGGACTGTGCCACCGGGACCTTCGGCGGAGCTCCTATGGGGCCACAAACGTGTGAGGGGTGGGCCGATATGAATGGCGGAGACGCGTGCGGACTGTGCCACCGGGACCTTCGGCGGAGCTCCTATGGGGCCACGAAACGTGTGAGGGGTGTGCCGAAATGAGCGGCGGGGACGCATGCGGACTGTGCCAATGGGACCTTCGGCGGAGCTTCTGTGGGGCCACGAAACGTGTGAGGGGTGAGCGGACGTGAGTGGCGGAGACGCATGCGGACTGCGCCACTGGAACCTTCGGCGGAGCTCCTACGGGGCCACGAAACGTGTGAGGGGTGGGCCGAAATGAATGGCGGGGGCACATGCGGACTGTGCCACTGGGACCTTCGGCTGAGCTCCTATGGGGCCACGAAACGTGTGAGGGGTGTGCCGAAATGAGCGGCGGGGACGCACGCAGACTGTGCCAATGGGGCCTTCGCCGGAGCTTCTGTGGGGCCACGAAACGTGTGAGGGGTGAGCGGACATGAGTGGCGGGGACGCATGCGGACTGCGCCACTGGAACCTTCGGCGGAGCCCCTATGGGGCCACGAAACGTGTGAGGGGTGGGCCGAAACGGGCGCGCGGGACGCATGCGCATACACCCACTGAGACCTTCGGTGGAGCTCCCTGTGGGGCCACGAAACGACGCATGCGGGCACACCCACTGGGACCTTCGGTGGAGCTCCTTATGGGGCCGCAAAACGTATGAAGGGTGTGCCGAAATGGGTGTGCGGGACGCATGCGGGCACACCCACTGGGACCTTCGGTGGAGCCTATGGGGCCACGAAACGTGTGAGGGGTGTGCCGACATGGGTGTGCGGGACAAATGCGGGCACACCACACCCACTGCGACCTTCGGTGGAGCTCCCTATGGGGCCACGAAACGTGTGAAGGATGGGCCGAAATGGGTGTGCGGGACGCGTGCGGGCACACCCACTGGGACCTTCGGTTGGGCTCCTTATGGGGCCGCGGAACGTGTGAGGGGTGTGCCACAATGGGTGTGCGGGACGCATGCGGGCACACCCACTGGGACCTTCGGTGGAGCTCCCTATGAGGCCACGAAACGTCTGAAGGGTGTACCGAAATGGGTGTGCGGGACGCATGCGGGCACACCCACTGGGACCTTCGGTGGAGCTCCCTATGGGGCCACGAACGTGTGATGGGTGGTCCGAAATGGGTGTGCGGGACGCATGCGGGCACACCCACTGAGACCTTCGGTGGAGCTCCCTATGGGGCCACGAAACGTGTGAGGGGTGTGCCGAAATGGGTGTGCGGGACGCAGGCGGGCACACCCACTGGGACCTTCGGTGGAGGTCCCGGCCACGAACGGGCACACCCACTGGGACCTTCGGTGGAGCTCCCTATGGGGCCACGAAACGTGTGAGGGGTGCGCCGAAATGGAGGTGGAACCGCATGCGGACCCTGACACTTGGGCCTTCGGTGGAGCTCACTATGGGTCCACGAAACGTGTATGGGTGGGCCGAAATGTGGCGGACGCATGCGGACACCCCACGGGACCTTCGGTGGAGTCCCCCCATGGGGCCCACGAAGCCCATGTTAGGAGGTGTGCCGAAATGGGTGTGGCAGAGGTTCGGGAACGCAATGCGGCCCTGGCGCTGGACCTCGTTCGGTGGAGCTCCCTATGTGTCCACGAAACATGCGAAGGGGGTGTACCGAATGGGTGTGCGGGGACTCAAATGGCGGGACACCCACTGGACCTTCGGTTGGAGCTCCCTATGGGGTCACGAACGTGTGAGGGTGGGCCACAACGGGGTGCGGGACGCATGCGGGCACCCCACTGAGACCTTCGGTGGAGCTCCCTATGGAGCCACGAAGCGTGTGAGGGGTGTGCCGAAATGTGGTGTGGAACCGCATGCGAGCGCAGCCACTGGGGCGTTCGGTGGAGCTCCCTGTGGGGCCACGAAACGTGTGAGGGGTGTGCCGAAATGGGGGTGCGGGACGCATGCGGACGGCAGCCCTGGGGCCTTCGGTGGAGCTCCCTGTGGGGCCACGAAACGTGTGAGGGGTGTGCCGAAATGGGTGTGCGGGACGCATGCGGACGGCAGCACTGGGGCCTTCGGTGGAGCTCCCTATGGGGCCACGAAACGTGTGAGGGGTGTGCCGAAATGGTGGGCGGGACGCATGAGGCACCCCACGGACCTTCGGTGAGCTTCCTATGGGGCCACGAAACGTGTGAGGGTTGCCGAAATGGGTGATGACGATGATGATGGTGGGAGGAAGAGAGGAGGATGTAGGAGGAGGAGGGTAGGAGGAGGAGAGGAGGAGGGAGTGAGAGGTAGGAGGACGGAGGAGGAGGAGGAGGAGGAGGAGAGGAGGAGAGGAGGAGAGGAGGAGAGGAGACGCGGGCCACCATCTCTTCAAAACGAGGACCCAACACCACAGGATGGTTGGGAAAAAATGGAATGAAAGCTCTGGCACGCCCAAGAAAAGCACAGCCATGGGTCGAGGCATTCCTCGTCTTTTGTCTCCTCCCACTGGCTCTGGCAAAGTCCTGGTTTGCAAAGGCCTGGTGTCCAGGGCCCCGATTCCAATCCCCCATCTTCCCCTCTGCGCCAGACGACTCCCCCCCCCGCCTAGCGAAGCCTCCTGGAGCCCTCCTGGGGACCTCTCCAAGGCGCCTCAGGGGGCTTCTTGAAACCTCTGGAAGGCTTCTGGTAGATCTCTTGGGAGTACGTTAAAAGCCTCTGGGGAAGCGCCAGTGGCGCTTGCCCTTGCTGGTCTTCTTCTAAAGAGTTTAACTGACTTGGTGGCGTCTTGGGGCCCTCCTGGGAGTCCCTTCGGGCCCCCTTGGAGGCTTGGCCGTCTCGGACCCGTCTGCGGACTTCCTTGGGCGATCTTGGGGCCATCCTGAGGCCTCAAGCGCCCATTGGAAGCGAAACGGCGTGAAGGCGAACATCGCTGATTTGCTCACCATGTTTGATTGACTTGAGCCTCTTGGGGGCTCGGGGCGTCTTGGGGGCGCCTTGGAGCCATGGAGGCTATGTCGGCTTGACGTGTCAGGACTTGTCCGGTCATGTCGTGCCTCGTCTTGCATTGTTGTCTTGGGCATCTCCTCTCCCCAACCCTCGACCTCTGGAAGGCTTGTTAGAGAGTTCTTCTGGGGGGTATGTTGCGAGCCCCGTGGGTCACAAAGCGGCCGTTCTGGGGCTCGTTGGGCACCAGTGACGCTTGCCCTGGTTGGCCCCTTCAGCATTTGGACAGAATTGGGAACGTTTTGGGGCCCTCTTGGGAAACTCTTCGGGCCCCTCTTGGGTGCCTGGTCGCCTCGGGCCCGTCTCGGAGCTGTCTTTTTCTTGTGCAATCTTGGGGCCCTCTTGAGGCCTCAAGGGCCCATTGGGAACGAAACATCGTGAAGGCAACTATCGTTGGTTCTCTGGAGGTGATTGACCGATGTGGGCCTCTCGGGGGCTGGGGGCGTCTCAGGGCGTCTTGCAGCCGCCTGGGGCCGACTGGGAAGCTGCATTGGCTTGTCTTGTCAAGTCTTGTCTCGTGCTGTCTCGTCTCGACCTGACACATTGCCTTGGGCCACGCACCCGCGATTACCATCACGTCTCGGAGGTAAGTGTCGATGCGGATCAGATGGGGTAAAATAATTCTCATGCTCACATCCCGCAGTACCTTTGCCTGTCGAGAGGAGCAGTGGGATAACCATGCCTCGAGCAAGAGTCTCTGCTCAATCCCGAGCGCATGAAGAAAAGTGGTTGCGCAGCGTGCTGGCCGCCAGAAGACCTTACCACGCCCGAATAGACTCCCCGTAATCCTACACTTGGGCTGCGCATGGTCCGAGACGGCACGCATGGAGGAACCTGCTCCTCTCAACTCACTTCGGGCGCCTTTTGCTCGTTGGTGCAGCACAGCTTTTCTTATCCTCGCTCCAGCCAGCCTCCCAGTTGGAATAACCTGCGTCACAGTCATAAGGCTTAGATGCGGCCTCGACGCAACCCATCTTTTCTCTGAGCAACACCACTCCTTCTTGTCCGGCGACCAGCCAGCCTCCCAATTCGAATACCCAGCGTTGCAGTCATACGGCTCGGAAGGCGGGGCCGGCGGCGGCGTCGTCTCGACGCAGCCCATGTGCTTATTGGAACAGCACCAGCCTTTCTTGTCCGCGACCACCCCGCTCCCAATTCGAATACCCGGCCGCGCAATCGTACGGCTCAGACGGCGTGGCCTGGCGGAGGCGGGGCCACAGGAGCTGGCGGTGGCGGAGGCGGCGCCACAGGCGCGGGTGGCGGCGGGGGCGGCGGGGGCGGCGCCACTGGGGCTGGCGGAGGGGGCGGCGGCGGCGGCGGCGGCGGGGGCGGGGGCGGCGGCGGAGGCGTCGTAGGGCACCCCCTGCCAGCCTGCAAGCAGCACGTGACCTTCTTGGATACGTCCCAAGACGGCGGATCACCTTCCGCGCAGTCCACCTTCTTCTCCGTGGTCGTCACCGGCTCCGGCGGCGGGGGCGGCGGTGGCGGTGGGGGCGGCGGAGGCGGAGGCGGCGGTGGCGGGGGCGGCGGCGGAGCTGCGGTGGTGGTTTTCTTGGTCGTGGTCGGAGCATCAGGCGGAGGCGTCGGCGGCGCTGCCAACAGCGGTGGTGGTGGAGTTGTGATGAGAATCGTGGTGGTCGTCGTAGTGCTGGTTGAGCCCATTAGGAACCAGCCCAGCAGCGGGAGTAACAGAAGCGACAGTAGCAAGGGGATCAGGCAAAGGCACAAGCAGTGGGGGCCACGGCGAGGCAGGGGCAATATACTCGAGATGACCGTCTCCGAGACTGCTTGCGGGCCGCCCGCCCCCATGCCAATGTACTTGTACGTCGTCTCCTGCACGTAATCTCCACCAGGCCCCATGTAGGTCTGAGTTTGTGGCGGCATGCCGCCCGCGAGACCGAAGCCAGAGGCGCCGCCGTACCCGTAGCCCGCCGAGCCGCCGCAGCATCCCGCGTCGCCGCCGTACGCACCACCGTAACCCGCGCCACCGCCGCAGCAACTGTCGCCGCCGTACGCGCCGCCGTAACCCATGCCCACGCCGCCGCTACCGAAGCCGCTGCCGGCGTGAATCATCCCTGTCTGCAACAAAGAATGGCCAGAATGCCTTGTGCCAAAGTGGACTAATTATGGTGGTTGCCTTGGGCCATCTTGGAGGCCTCGCGGGGGCGTCTTAGGTTCATCCCGAGCCTGTGCTGTTGCCGCGCATGGACTGGAGGGGTCCGCCCAACCTATTAGAGAAAAACTGCCGCGTGACAGGAATAACTCCCCTGGCTTTGGACGGAGAGGGCCGCGAGGCGTTAGAGCGTCCAAGATCGCCCAAGATGGCTCCAAGGTGTCTCAGATAGTCAAGATGGCTTCAAAGATGGCACAAGTTGGTGTCCAACCTGGCTCCAAGAACCCCCAAGACGGCTCCAAGACGGCTCCAAGTGGCCCTGCAGAGCCTCCCAAGGATATGTGTTCGAAAAGGCCAAACTCATTCAAAAACCAAAGGGTGCCCAACGTGTGTGGCCTTCTCGCCATCGTTTCCGACGGGCATCTGAGACATCGAGATGGCTCTAAGATCGCCTCCAAAAAAGACCAACCCACAGGAGCTCCAAGACGGCTCCCAAGGCCCCCAAGAACGCCCCAAGAGCCTCCCAAGAGGGCCCGAAAAGGCAAAGCTTCGGGCCCCGAAGGAGGGGAGTGATTTAGAACCCTCCATCTTTGATCGATCTCTTCCAAGACGGCCCCAAGAAAGCCCCAAAGGCCCCCAAGAGGGTATCAAAAGGGCCCCGAGGGAGCCCTAATAGGACAGCAAGAGAACCCTGAAGGCCTCCTCCAAAGTAGCCCCAAGAGGACACCAAGAGTAACCCCAAGAGGGCTCCAAGATAAGTTTCCGAGAAGCTCCCCTGTCGAACGATCCACGAGTGTAATTCTGGCTAAGTCCTACGTCTGCTCCGGCTGATCCTGCGCTTCGATCTGACGGCTACCCCCCTGGGAAATTCGCCTGGGCATCGTTTCTGGATGGGCTGGTGAGGATACAGGATGCAGTAGGAGCTCGACCACAAGAAACCGTCCACAAGAAATCCAAGCCCGAGACCCCAGGACGCCCATCGAATTTTGGTGTGGGAAGGTCACGCTTTCCATCGCGGAACCATCGAAGCCCGCGAAACCCAGGGCACCCTGGAGGCAAGCAGGGTGATTCCTGGCATGATTTTGCCCACTGTACGCGACGCGCCAACCATGATCGGCTGGTGCCCCCTGGTGGCCGCACGCCGCAGCCTCGCCGACGCCTCGCGCGCTGGCGCCCGCTGGCTGGCGCTTCCGGGCTTTCGCCGGGCGGCCGCCCGTCGCCGCCTCGTCTCCGCCACGTCTCGGGGACCTACCGACCCGGGTCATGTTCAGACCCTCGGTCGGGCCTCGCAGGATTCTTCGAGTAGGGGATCGACTGCAGAACCGATTGACCCCAAACTTGATGTGCCCGTCGACTCTACGACACACACGTGGAGTGCTCCGTAGATCTACGGAGTATATTATACGTAATTATGTGTCCTGGATTCGGCGCTGCAAGCAGTTGCTGGGGCAAACCAATTCTGTAGTCGATCCCCTACGGGAACCCTTCAGGATCCTGCAGGATCCTGCGCCCAAACCCGGGTCAGTGCAGCCCTGGCCCTGCAGGATCCTGCAAGGCCCGGCGCTCTGACGGACCCCCATTTGCATTGACCCCCGTCTCTGGAGCCCAAACACGTCCGCTGGCTGGGTTCCCCGGGTGTTCGCAAGGTGCCCGCCCGTCGCTTCCTCGCCTCCGCCTCGCCATTGATTGCACGACACTGCCTGCACTACACATGTACTGCACTGACGCCGTGGACGGTCCTCCACAGCTTGCAGCACACAGCGTGTACATCAGAGGTGGCACCCGTCAAGTTGCACGACGTATACTGCGCTCCACAGCATACAAAGACTATGTAGCTTGCACCACACGAGCTCCCTTTGACAAGAAGGCATGAGAAGCCACCCCCCTGCCGAGGCCAAACCGATCCGCCCCCCTCCGCGCATTGCGGCTTGATGGATCTGCATGAGATCGACGACGCGCACTGGGCCGGCCACGCGCGGTGCGGGCCGGTGAGTCCCGCGTCCCACAAGAAACCACGCAACTCGACCTCCACCACGAGGCTGGGAGTCGTCCCCCTCCCCGCGGGGTCTGCTTCTTTCCCCCAAGATCAAGGTTTGCATCAGGTCGGGCGTGTCTTCCTGCAGGGGGATCTTGAAGGGAAACCTAGAGATAGTCCAAAACTGCTTCAAAGATACAGAAACAGAATCGACGAATCGTCCCCATATCATGTTTTTGACTATCCTTGAATATCCCTCCTGTAGAGGGACAGGCCCGACTTACGGCTTGCACTTAGGAGTTCTCACTTCGCTTGCCGGGTCAGTGGGCGGGGCGTCCCGCGCACTCGCCGCGCTCGCGCATGCGAAAGCCCCGTGCTCGTGGGCGCCCCGTGCTCTCTGCATGGGTGCGCCAAGGCTTCGCCGCGCTCGCGCCTGTGAAAGCATCCCTCCCTGCGACAAGCTGTCGGAAGGCCTCGTGCCGACAAGGTGGGCCATGGTGGTCGCCATGGGCCATCTTGGGAGGCCCCGTGGGGGCGTCCTGGGTTCATGCCACGCCCGCGCTGTCGCCGCGAGGGGACTGGATGGGGCGCGCCCGCCTCGTTCAGGAAGAGCTCCCCGGGGTCTGGACGGAGAGGGCCGCGAGGCGCCAGAGCGCCCAAGATTGCCCCGGATGGCTCCCAGATGGCCTCAGGCAGCCCAGGATGGCGTCAATCACGGCGTCCAGCATGCGCCATTTCGCTTCCCAGGGACCTCGGAGGCATCAAGATGGCTCTGCGATCGTCCAAAAGAGCCCCAAGAGGGACCCACAGGTGCTCCAAGACGGTCCCGAAGGCCCCCAAGAGCGCCCCAAGAGCCTCCCAAGAGGGCCCCACAGGGCTATGCTCCGGGCTCCGAAAAAAGGGGTCATCTGGGACCCCCCCCAGCTTTCATCGACCTCCTTCCAGAGCGGCCCCAAGAGGCGAGAGGGGCAACAAAAAGACCCCAGCAGCCCTGCGGGCCGCCCGTCTCAGCCTCGTCACCACCTTGTCTCAGTCTCAGCCTCGTCTCAGTCTCAGCCCGTCTCAGTCTCAGCCTCGTCTCAGCCCCTGCCTCCAACGCTGAAATCAACATACTTCCCAGGCGCTCTGAGGCGCTGGACGCCGAAACCCCACCGAGCGCCCAGACGGCCTCGAGCCGCCACTCCTTGAACGCCGCGTGGCTCCGAATCCCACCAGCCCTGCGGGCCCATGTAATCTAGTAGGCTTCCTCTTCCATCAGGGCCCCATAAAAAACTCGGATGAAAGCTCTGGCACGCCCAAGAAAAGCACAGCCATTGGTCGAGGCATTCCTCGTCTTTTGTCTCCTCCCACTGGCTCTGGCAAAGTGCTGGTTTGCAAAGGCCTGGTGTCCAGGGCCCCGCTTCCAATCCCCCATCTTCCCCTCTGCGCCAGACGACTCCCCCCCCCCGCCCAGCGAAGCCTCCTGGAGCCCTCCTGGGGGCCTCTCCAAGGCGCCTCAGGGGGCTTCTTGAAACCTCTGGAAGGCTTCTGGTAGATCTCTTGGGAGTATGTTGAAAGCCTCTGGGGAAGCGCCATTGGCGCTTGCCCTTGCTGGTCTTCTTCTAAAGAGTTTAACTGACTTGGTGGCGTCTTGGGGCCCTCCTGGGAGTCCCTTCGGGCCCCCTTGGAGGCTTGGCCGTCTCGGACCCGTCTGCGGACTTCCTTGGGCGATCTTGGGGCCATCCTGAGGCCTCAAGCGCCCATAGGAAGCGAAACGGCGTGAAGGCGAACATCGCTGATTTGCTCCACATGTTTTAATGACTTGAGCCTCTTGGGGGCTCGGGGCGTCTTGGGGGCGCCTTGGAGCATGGAGGCTATGTTGGCTTGACGTGTCAGGACTTGTCCGGTCATGTCGTGCCACGTCTTGCATGGTTGCCTTGGGCCATCTCCTCTCCCCAACCCTCGACCTCTGGAAGGCTTGTTAGAGAGTTCTTCTGGGGGGTATGTTGCGAGCCCCGTGGGACACAAAGCGGCCGTTCTGGGGCTTGTTGGGCACCAGTGACGCTTGCCCTGGTTGGCCCCTTCAGCATTTGGACAGAATTGGGAACGTTTTGGAGCCTTCTTGGGACTCCTCGGGCCCCTCTTGGGTGCCTGGTCGCCTCGGGCCCGTCTCGGAGCTGTCTTTTTCTTGTGCAACCTTGGGGCCCTCTTGAGGCCTCAAGGGCCCATTGGGAACGAAACATCGTGAAGGCAACTATCGTTGGTTCTCTGGAGGTGATTGACCGATGTGGGCCTCTCGGGGGCTGGGGGCGTCTCAGGGTGTCCTGGAGCCGCCTGGGGCCGACTGGGAAGCTGCATTGGCTTGTCTTGTCAAGTCTTGTCTCGTGCTGTCTCGTCTCGACCTGTCACATTGCCTTGGGCCACGCACCCGCGATTACCATCACGTCTCGGAGGTAAGTGTCGATGCGGATCAGATGGGGTAAAATAATTCTCATGCTCACATCCCGCAGTACCTTTGCCTGTCGAGAGGAGCAGTGGGATAACCATGCCTCGAGCAAGAGTCTCTGCTCAGATCCCGAGCGCATGAAGAAAGTGGTTGCGCAGCGTGCTGGCCGCCAGAAGACCTTACCACGCCCGAATAGACTCCCCGTATCCTACACTTGGGCTGCGCATGGTCCGAGCACGGCACTGCATGGAGAACCTGCTACCTCTTCAAACTCACTTCGGGCAGCCCTTCTGCTCGTTGGTGCAGCACCAGCTTTTCTTATCCTCGCTCCAGCCAGCCTCCCAGTTGGAATAACCTGCGTCACAGTCATAAGGCTTAGATGCGGCCTCGACGCAACCCATCTTCTTCTCTGAGCAACACCACTCCTTCTTGTCCGGCGACCAGCCGGCCTCCCAATTCGAATACCCAGCGTTGCAGTCATACGGTTCGGAAGGCGGGGCCGGCGGCGGCGTCGTCTCGACGCAGCCCATGTGCTTATTGGAACAGCACCAGCCTTTCTTGTCCGTGGACCACCCCGCTTCCCAATTCGAATACCCGGCCGCGCAATCGTACGGCTCAGACGTCGTGGCTGGCGGAGGCGGGGCCACAGGAGCTGGCGGTGGCGGAGGCGGCGCCACAGGCGCGGGTGGCGGCGGGGGCGGCGGGGGCGGCGCCACTGGGGCTGGCGGAGGGGGCGGCGGCGGCGGCGGGGGCGGGGGCGGCGGCGGAGGCGTCGTAGGGCACCCCCTGCCAGCCTGCAAGCAGCACGTGACCTTCTTGGATACGTCCCAAGACGGCGGATCACCTTCCGCGCAGTCCACCTTCTTCTCCGTGGTCGTCACCGGCTCCGGCGGCGGGGGCGGCGGTGGCGGTGGGGGCGGCGGAGGCGGAGGCGGCGGTGGCGGGGGCGGCGGCGGAGCCGCGGTGGTGGTTTTCTTGGTCGTGGGCGGAGCATCAGGCGGAGGCGTCGGCGGCGCTGCCAACAGCGGTGGTGGTGGAGTTGTGATGAGAATCGTGGTGGTCGTCGTAGTGCTGGTTGAGCCCATTAGGAACCAGCCCAGCAGCGGGAGTAACAGAAGCGACAGTAGCAAGGGGATCAGGCAAAGGCACAAGCAGTGGGGGCCACGGCGAGGCAAGGGCAATATACTCGAGATGACCGTCTCCGAGACTGCTTGCGGGCCGCCCGCCCCCATGCCAATGTACTTGTACGTCGTCTCCTGCACGTAATCTCCACCAGGCCCCATGTAGGTCTGAGTTTGTGGCGGCATGCCGCCCGCGAGACCGAAGCCAGAGGCGCCGCCGTACCCGTAGCCCGCCGAGCCGCCGCAGCATCCCGCGTCGCCGCCGTACGCACCACCGTAACCCGCGCCACCGCCGCAGCAACTGTCGCCGCCGTACGCGCCGCCGTAACCCATGCCCACGCCGCCGCTACCGAAGCCGCTGCCGGCGTGAATCATCCCTGTCTGCAACAAAGAATGGCCAGAATGCCTTGTGCCAAAATGGACTAATTATGGTGGTTGCCTTGGGCCATCTTGGAGGCCTCGTGGGGGCGTCTTAGGTTCATCCCGAGCCTGTGCTGTTGCCGCGCATGGACTGGAGGGGTCCGCCCAACCTATTAGAGAAAAACTGCCGCGTGACAGGAATAACTCCCCTGGCTTTGGACGGAGAGGGCCGCGAGGCGTTAGAGCGTCCAAGATCGCCCAAGATGGCTCCAAGGTGTCTCAGATAGTCAAGATGGCTTCAAAGATGGCACAAGTTGGTGTCCAACCTGGCTCCAAGAACCCCCAAGACGGCTCCAAGACGGCTCCAAGTGGCCCTGCAGAGCCTCCCAAGGATATGTGTTCGTAAAGGCCAAACTCATTCAAAAACCAAAGGGTGCCCAACGTGTGTGGCCTTCTCGCCATTTCGCTTCCGACGGGCATCTGAGACATCGAGATGGCTCTAAGATCGCCCCCAAAAAAGACCAACCCACAGGAGCTCCAAGACGGCTCCCAAGGCCCCCAAGAAAGCCCGAGAGCCTCCCAAGAGGGCCCGAAAAGGCAAAGCTTCGGGCCCCGAAAAAGGGGAGTAATTCAGAACCCCCCATCTTTGATCGATCTCTTCCAAGACGGCTCCAAGAAAGCCCCAAAGGCCCCCAAGAGGGTATCATAAGGGCCCCGAGGGAGCCCTAATAGGACAGCAAGAGAACCCTAAAGGCCACCAAAGTAGCCCCAAGCCGAGGCCAAACCGATCCGCCCCCCTCCGCGCATTGCGGCTTGATGGATCTGCATGAGATCGACGACGCGCACTGGGCCGGCCACGCGCGGTGCGGGCCGGTGAGTCCCGCGTCCCACAAGAAGCCACGCAACTCGACCCCCACCCCGAGGCTGGGAGCCGTCCCCCTCCCCGCGGGGTCTGCTTCTTTCCCCAAGCTCAAGGCTTGCATCAGGTCGGGCGTGTCCTTCTCCTGCAGGGGGATCTTGAAGGGAAACCTAGAGATAGTCCGAAAAGTATTCAAACATACAGAAGCAGAATCGACAAATCGTCCCCGCATCATGCTTTTGACTTCCTCCTGTAGAGGGACAGGCCCGACTTAAGGTTTGCACTTAGGAGTTCTCACTTCGCTTGCCGGGTCAGTGGGCGGGGCGTCCCGCGCTCTCGCCGCGCTCGCGCCTGTGAAAGCATCCCTCCCTGCAACAAGCTGTCGGAAGGCCTCGTGCCGACAAGGTGGGCCATGGTGGTCGCCATGGGCCATCTTGGGAGGCCCCGTGGGGGCGTCCTGGGTTCATGCCACGCCCGCGCTGTCGCCGCGAGGGGACTGGATGGGGCGCGCCCGCCTCGTTCAGGAAGAGCTCCCCTGGGTCTGGACGGAGAGGGCCGCGAGGCGTCAGAGTCCAAGATTGCCCCGGATGGCACCCAGATGGCCTCAGGCAGCCCAGGATGACGTCAATCACGGCGTCCAGCATGCGCCATTTCGCTTCCCAGGGGCCTCGGAGGCATCAAGATGGCTCTGCGATCGTCCAAAAGAGCCCCAAGAGAGACCCACAGGTGCTCCAAGACGGCCCCGAAGGCCCCCAAGAGCAACCCAAGAGCCCCCCAAGAGGGCCCCACAGGACTACGCTCCGGGTTCCGAAAGGGGGGGTCATCTGGGATCCCCCTCATCTTTAATCGTCCAGAGCGGCCCCAAGAGGGGCAACAAAAAGACCCCAGCAGCCCTGCGGGCCGCCCGTCTCAGCCTCGTCACCACCTCATTCGCTGGCTGGCGCTTCTGAGCTTGGTGCCCGCCCGTCGCCGCCTCGTCGCCATTTCGCGCGCTGGGTTTGCAGGGGCTTCAGCTGGCGGGCGCCCGTCGCTTGCCCGCCCCTGCCTCCGACGCTGAAATCAACACACTTCCCAGGCGCTCTGAGGCGCTGGACGCCGAAACCCCACCGAACGCCCAGACGGCCTCGAGCCGCCATTCCTTGAACGCCGCGTGGCTCCAAATCCCACCAGCCCTGCGGGCCTATGTAGTCTAGTAGGCTTCCTTTTCCATCAGGGCCCCATAAAAATAGCCTGGCGAGGGACCTAACCATATGCAGGTGTGAGTACCGCAATAGTGATTCACTTTTTCGGTGGCGATCCCTATGAGGCAACGAACCGTGCCAGGAGTGTGCCGACATGAGTGGCGTGGTACACAACGCGAACGAAAACGATTGATCTGAGTACGTAGGGAGACTGAGCGCGGGTGAATATGCGCGCGTGCGTCTGACTGTGAATGAATCTGCGTGCGAGCGAGTCCACGTGCATGAATGCGAATATGACAAAACGTGGTGCAATTTCGTACGAATGTCAATAGTTTGACAATGACTGCCTCTGAGTACTCGTGACGCTGGGCGTGGCCGCCGCAAGGAGCTTCCCCGGGACTCCCCGACGGCATCGCCCGCGCGCCGCGACGCCAATGTCGGTGCGCCCCCCCGCGAGGATCGCGCCCGCTTCCTCCCCTTCCTTTACTCCCCCTTTGCCCGCGCACTCAAAAGTCCAAGGCTGCGGGCGCAGCGCAGCGCGGAGTCCCCGCGACGCGCGCAGGTCGCCCCGGAGGGGTCCCAGCGACGCGCGCGGGTCGTCCACTGCGCAGAGCAATGAGAGCTAGCTGGCTGGCTGATAGCGGGCAAGGCTCTTGCCGCTGGGCAGAGCGACGACGGGCGAGCAAGGCGCTGGGCAGAACGCAGCACGGAGCCCCCGCGACGCGCGCAGGTCGCCCCGGAGGGGTCCCAGCGACGCGCGCGGGTCGCCCGCTGCGCGGAGCAAAGAGAGCTAGCTGGCTGGCTGGGACCTGCGGTGGGGCTCCATATGGGACCACGTAACGCTGTACTGGGCAAGGGAGACGCATGCGGACTGCGCCACGGGGACCTTCCATGGAGTCCCCTATGGGGCCACGAAACGTGTGAGGGGTGTGCCGGCATGAATGGCGGGGACGCATGCGGACTGTGCCACTGGGACCTTCGGCGGAGCTCCTATCGGGCCACGAAACGTGTGAGGGGTGTGCCGAAATGAGCGGCGGGGACGCATGCGGACTGCGCCACGGGGACCGTCGGTGGAGTTCCTATGGGGCCACGAAACGTGTGAGGGGTGTGCCGAGATGAGCGGCGGGGACGCATGCGGACTGTGCGAATGTGACCTTCGGCGGAGCTCCTGTGGGGCCACGAAACGTGTGAGGGGTGTGCCGACATGACTGGCGGGAACGCATGCGGACTCTGCCACGGGGACCTTCGGCGGAGCTCCTATGGGGCCACGAAACGTGTGAGGGGTGTGCTGAAATGAATGGCGGGGGCGCGTGCGGACTGTGCCACCGGGACCTTCGGCGGAGCTCCTATGGGGCCACAAAACGTGTGAGGGGTGGGCCGACATGAATGACGGAGACGCATGCGGACTGTGCCACCGGGACCTTCGGCGGGGGGCCACGAAGCGTGTGAGGGGTGTGCCGAAATGAGCGGCGGGGACGCATGCGGACTGTGCCAATGGGACCTTCGGCGGAGCTTCTGTGGGGCCACGAAACGTGTGAGGGGTGAGCGGACATGAGTGGCGGAGACGCATGCGGACTGCGCCACTGGAACCTTCGGCGGAGCCCCTACGGGGCCACGAAACGTGTGAGGGGTGGGCCGAAATGAATGGCGGGGGCACATGCGGACTGTGCCACTGGGACCTTCGGCTGAGCTCCTATGGGGCCACGAAACGTGTGAGGGGTGTGCCGAAATGAGCGGCGGGGACGCATGCAGACTGTGCCAATGGGACCTTCGCCGGAGCTTATGTGGGGCCACGAAACGTGTGAGGGGTGAGCGGACATGAGTGGCGGGGACGCATGCGGACTGCGCCACTGGAACCTTCGGCGGAGCCCCTATGGGGCCACGAAACGTGTGAGGGGTGGGCCGAAACGGGTGCGCGGGACGCATGCGCATACACCCACTGAGACCTTCGGTGGAGCTCCCTGTGGGGCCACGAAACGTGTGAGGGGTGTGCCACAATGGGTGTGCGGGACGCATGCGGGCACACCCACTGGGACCTTCGGTGGAGCTCCTTATGGGGCCGCAAAACGTATGAAGGGTGTGCCGACATGGGTGTGCGGGACGCATGCGGGCACACCCACTGGGACCTTCGGCGGAGCCTATGGGGCCACGAAACGTGTGAGGGGTGTGCCGACATGGGCGTGCGGGACAAATGCGGGCACACCACACCCACTGCGACCTTCGGTGGAGCTCCCTATGGGGCCACGAAACGTGTGAAGGGTGTGCCGAAATGGGTGTGCGGGACGCGTGCGGGCACACCCACTGGGACCTTCGGTTGGGCTCCTTATGGGGCCGCGGAACGTGTGAGGGGTGTGCCACAATGGGTGTGCGGGACGCATGCGGGCACACCCACTGGGACCTTCGGTGGAGCTCCCTATGAGGCCACGAAACGTCTGAAGGGTGTACCGAAATGGGTGTGCGGGACGCATGCGGGCACACCCACTGGGACCTTCGGTGGAGTTCCCTATGGGGCCACGAAGCGTGTGAGGGGTGGGCCGAAATGAATATGCGGGACGCATGCGGGCACACCCACTGAAACCTTCGGTGGAGCTCCTCCCTATGGGGCCACGAAACGTGTGAAGGGTGGGCCAAAATGGGCGTGCGGGACGCATACGGGCACACCCACTGGGACCTTCGGTGGAGCTCCGTATGGGGCCACGAAGCGTGTGAAGGGTGTGCCGAAATGGGTGTGCGGGACGCATGCGGGCACACCCACTGGGACCTTCGGTGGAGCTCCCTGTGGGGCCACGAAACGTGTGAGGGGTGGGCCGAAATGTGCGGGACGCGTGCGGGCACACCCACTGGGACCTTCGGTGGAGCCCCCCATGGGGCCACGAAACGTGTGAGGGGTGTGCCGAAATGGGTGTGCGGGACGCATGCGGGCACACCCACTGGGACCTTCGGTGGAGCTCCCTATGGGGCCACGAAACGTGTGAGGGGTGTGCCGAAATGGGTGTGCGGGACGCATGCGGGCACACCCACTGGGACCTTCGGTGGAGCTCCCTATGGGGCCACGAAACGTGTGAGGGGTGGGCCGAAATGGGTGTGCGGGACGCATGCGGGCACACCCACTGGGACCTTCGGTGGAGCTCCCTATGGGGCCACGAAACGTGTGAGGGGTGTGCCGAAATGGGTGTGCGGGATGCATGCGGGCACACCCACTGGGACCGTCGTGGGGCCCCCTGGGCACGTAACGTGTGAAGGGTGTGCCAAATGGGTGTGCGGTGAGCATGCGGGCACACCCACTGGGGCCTTCGGTGGGGCTCCCTATGGGGCCACGAAACGTGTGAGGGGTGTGCCGAATTGGGTGTGCGGGACGCATGGGGGCGGCAGCACTGGGGCCTTCGGTGGGGCTCCCTATGGGGCCACGAAACGTGTGAGGGGTGTGCCGAATTGAGCGTGCGGGACGCATGCGGGCGGCAGCACTGGGGCCTTCGGTGGGGCTCCCTATGGGGCCACGAAACGTGTGAGGGGTGTGCCGAAATGGAAGATGATGACGATGATGATGGTGGGAGGAAGAGGGGAGGAGGGGAGGAGGATGAGGAGGATGAGGAGGAGGAGGAGGAGGAGGAGGAGGAGGAGGAGGAGGAGGAGGAGGAGGAGGAGGAGGAGGAGGAGAGGAGGAGAGGAGGAGAGGAGGAGAGGAGACGCGGGCCACCGTCTCTTCAAAACGAGGACCCAACACCACAGGATGGTTGGGAAAAAATGGGATGAAAGCTCTGGCACGCCCAAGAAAAGCACAGCCATGGGTCGAGGCATTCCTCGTCTGTTGTCTCCTCCCACTGGCTCTGGCAAAGTCCTGGTTTGCAAAGGCCTGGTGTCCAGGGCCCCGATTCCAATCCCCCATCTTCCCCTCTGCGCCAGACGACTCCCCCCCCCGCCTAGCGAAGCCTCCTGGAGCCCTCCTGGGGACCTCTCCAAGGCGCCTCAGGGGGCTTCTTGAAACCTCTGGAAGGCTTCTGGTAGATCTCTTGGGAGTACGTTAAAAGCCTCTGGGGAAGCGCCAGTGGCGCTTGCCCTTGCTGGTCTCCTTCTAAAGAGTTTAACTGACTTGGTGGCGTCTTGGGGCCCTCCTGGGAGTCCCTTCGGGCCCCCTTGGAGGCTTGGCCGTCTCGGACCCGTCTGCGGACTTCCTTGGCGATCTTGGGGCATCCTGAGGCCTTCAAGCGCCCAGTGGAAGCGAAAACGGCGTGAGGCGAACAACGCTGATTTGCTAACCTGTTTGAAGGACTTGAGCCTCTTGGGGGCTCGGGGCGTCTTGGGGGCGCCTTGGAGCCATGGAGGCTATGTCGGCTTGACGTGTCAGGACTTGTCCGGTCATGTCGTGCCTCGTCTTGCATTGTTGTCTTGGGCATCTCCTCTCCCCAACCCTCGACCTCTGGAAGGCTTGTTCGAGAGTTTTTCTGGGGGGTATGTTGCGAGCCCCGTGGGTCACAAAGCGGCCGTTTTGGGGCTCGTTGGGCACCAGTGACGCTTGCCCTGGTTGGCCCCTTCAGCATTTGGACAGAATTGGGAACGTTTTGGGGCCCTCTTGGGAAACTCTTCGGGCCCCTCTTGGGTGCCTGGTCGCCTCGGGCCCGTCTCGGAGCTGTCTTTTTCTTGTGCAATCTTGGGGCCCTCTTGAGGCCTCAAGGGCCCATTGGGAACGAAACATCGTGAAGGCAACTATCGTTGGTTCTCTGGAGGTGATTGACCGATGTGGGCCACCCAGGGGCTGGGGGCGTCTCAGGGCGTCTTGCAGCCGCCTGGGGCCGACTGGGAAGCTGCATTGGCTTGTCTTGTCAAGTCTTGTCTCGTGCTGTCTCGTCTCGACCTGTCACATTGCCTTGGGCCACGCACCCGCGATTACCATCACGTCTCGGAGGTAACTGTCGATGCGGATCAGATGGGGTAAAATAATTCTCATGCTCACATCCCGCAGTACCTTTGCCTGTCGAGAGGAGCAGTGGGATAACCATGCCTCGAGCATGAGTCTCTGCTCAAATCCCGAGCACATGAGGAAGGTGGTTGCGCAGCGTGCTGGCCGCCAGAAGACCTTACCACGCCCGAGTAGACTCCCCGTATCCTACACTTGGGCTGCGCATGGTCCGAGCACGGCACTGCATCTTCAAACTCACTTCGGGCAGCCTTTCTGCTCGTTGGTGCAGCACCAACTTTTCTTATCCTCGCTCCAGCCAGCCTCCCAGTTGGAATAACCTGCGTCACAGTCATAAGGCTTAGATGCGGCCTCGACGCAACCCATCTTCTTCTCTGAGCAACACCACTCCTTCTTCTCCGGCGACCAGCCGGCCTCCCAATTCGAATACCCAGCGTTGCAGTCATACGGTTCGGAAGGCGGGGCCGGCGGCGGCGTCGTCTCGACGCAGCCCATGTGCTTATTGGAACAGCACCAGCCTTTCTTGTCCGTAGACCACCCCGCTTCCCAATTCGAATACCCGGCCGCGCAATCGTACGGCTCAGACGTCGTGGCTGGCGGAGGCGGGGCCACAGGAGCTGGCGGTGGCGGAGGCGGCGCCACAGGCGCGGGTGGCGGCGGGGGCGGCGCCACTGGGGCTGGCGGAGGGGGCGGCGGCGGCGGCGGGGGCGGGGGCGGCGGCGGAGGCGTCGTAGGACACCCCCTGCCAGCCTGCAAGCAGCACGTGACCTTCTTGGATACTTCCCAAGACGGCGGATCACCTTCCGCGCAGTCCACCTTCTTCTCCGTGGTCGTCACGGCTCCGGCGGCGGGGGCGGCGGCGGGCGGTGGGGGCGGCGGAGGCGGTAGGCGGCGGGGGCGGGGGCGGCGGTGGAGCCGCCGGTCGGTGGGTTTCTTTGTCGTGTCGAGCCTCAGGCGGAGGCGTCGGCGGGCGCTGCCAACAGCGGTGGTGGTGGAGTTGTGATGAGAATCGTGGTGGTCGTCGTAGTGCTGGTTGAGCCCATTAGGAACCAGCCCAGCAGCGGGAGTAACAGACGCGACAGTAGCAAGGGGATCAGGCAAAGGCACAAGCAGTGGGGGCCACGGCGAGGCAGGGGCAGTATACTCGAGATGACCGTCTCCGAGACTGCTTGCGGGCCGCCCGCCCCCCATGCCCAATGTACTTGTACGTCGTCACCTGCAGTAATCTCCACAGGCCCCATGTATGTCTGAGTTTGTGGCGGCATGGCTGCCCGCGAGACGAAGAGGCGCCGCCGTACCCGTAGCCCGCCCGAGCCTCCGCAGCACCCCGCATTCGCCCGCGCGTTACGCACCACCGTACCCGCGCCACCGCCGCAGCAACTGTCGCCGCCGTACGCGCCGCCGTAACCCATGCCCACGCCGCCGCTACCGAAGCCGCTGCCGGCGTGAATCATCCCTGTCTGCAACAAAGAATGGCCAGAATGCCTTGTGCCAAAATGGACTAATTATGGTGGTTGCCTTGGGCCATCTTGGAGGCCTCGTGGGGGCGTCTTAGGTTCATCCCGAGCCTGTGCTGTCGCCGCGCGTGGACTGGAGGGGTGCCCAACCTATTAGAGAAAAACTGCCGCGTGACAGGAATAACTCCCCTGGCTTTGGACGGAGAGGACCGCGAGGCGTTAGAGCGTCCAAGATCGCCCAAGATGGCTCCAAGGTGGTCTCAGATAGTCAAGATGGCTTCAAAAATGGCACAAGTTGGTGTCCAACCTGGCTCCAAGAACCCCCAAGACGGCTCCAAGACGGCTCCAAGTGGCCCTGCAGAGCCTCCCAAGGATATGTGTTCGTAAAGGCCAAACTCATTCAAAAACCAAAGGATGCCCAACGTGTGTGGCCTTCTCGCCATTTCGCTTCCGACGGGCCTCTGAGACATCGAGATGGCTCTAACATCGCCCCCCCCAAAAACCCAACCCACAGGAGCTCCAAGACGGCCCCCAAGGCCCCCAAGAGCGCCCCAAGAGCCTCCCAAGAGGGCCCGAAAAGGCAAAGCTTCGGGCCCCGAAGGAGGGGAGTAATTCAGAACCCCCCATCTTTGATCGATCTCTTCCAAGACGGCTCCAAGAAAGCCCCAAAGGCCCCCAAGAGGGTATCAAGAGGGCCCCGAGGGAGCCCTAATAGCACCCCAAGAGAACCCTAAAGGCCTCCAAAGTAGCCCCAAGAGGACACCAAGAGTAACCCCAAGAGGGCTCCCAGATAAGCTTCCGAGAGGCTCCCCTGTCGAACGATCCACGAGTGTAGTTCTGGCTAACTCCTACGTCTGCTCCAGCTGATCCTGCGCTTCGATCTGACGGCTAACCCCTGGGAAATTCGCCTGGGCATCGTTTCTGGATGGGCTGGTGAGGATACAGGATGCAGAAGGAGCTCGACCACAAGAAACCTTCCACAAGAAATTCAAGCCTGACACCCCAGGACGCCCATCGAATTTTGGTGTGGGAACGTCACGCTTTGCAAGCAGGATGATTCCTGGCATGATGTTGTCCACTGTACGCGACGCGCCAGCCATGATCGGCTGGTGCCCCCTGGTGGCCGCACGCCGCAGCCTCGCCGACGCCTCGCGCGCTGGCGCCCGCTGGCTGGCGCTTCCGGGCTTTCGCCGGGCGGCCGCCCGTCGCCGACCCGGGTCATGTCCAGACCCTCGGTCGGGCCTCGCAGGATCCTTCGAGCAGGGGATCGACTGCAGAACCGATTGACCCCAAACTTGATGTGCCCGTCGACTCTACGACACACACGTGGAGTGCTCCGTAGATCTACGGAGTATATTATACGTAATTCTGTGTCCTGGATTTGGCGCTGCAAGCAGTTGCTGGGGCAAACCAATTCTGTAGTCGATCCCCTACGGGAACCCTTCAGGACCCTGCAGGATCCTGCGCCCAAACCCGGGTCAGTGCAGCCCTGGCCCTGCAGGATCCTGCAAGGCCCGGCGCTCTGACGGACCCCCGTTTGCATTGACCCCCGTCTCTTGAGCGCAGACACGTCCGCCGGCTGGGTTCCCCGGGTGTTCGCAAGGTGCCCGCCCGTCGCTTCCTCGCCTCCGCCTCGCCGTTGGTTGCACGACACTGCCTGCACTACGCATGTACTGCACTGACGCCGTGGACGGTCCTCCACAGCTTGCAGCACACAGCGTGTACATCAGAGGTGGCACCCGTCAAGTTGCACGACGTATACTGCGCTCCACAGCATACAAAGACTAGCTTGCACCACACGAGCTCCTTTTTACAAGAAGGCATGAGAAGCCACCCCCCTGCCGAGGCCAAACCGATCCGCCCCCCTCCGCGCAGTGCGGCTTGATGGATCTGCATGAGATCGACGACGCGCACTGGGCCGGCCACGCGCGGTGCGGGCCGGTGAGTCCCGCGTCCCACAAGAAGCCACGCAACTCGACCCCCACCACGAGGCTGGGAGCCGTCCCCCTCCCCGCGGGGTCTGCTTCTTTCCCCCAAGCTCAAGGCTTGCATCAGGTCGGGCGTGTCCCTCTCCTGCAGGGGGATCTTGAAGGGAAACCTAGAGATAGTCCGAAAAAAGTATTCAAACATACAGAAGCAGAATCGACAAATCGTCCCCGCATCATGCTTTTGACTTCCTCCTGTAGAGGGACAGGCCCGACTTACGGTTAGCGCTTATGGGGTTCTCACTTCGCTTGCCGGGTCAGTGGGCGTGGCGTCCCGCGCACTCGCCGCGCTCGCGCCCGTGCCCGCCCGTGGGCGGGCGGCTCGTGGGCGCCCCGTGCTCTCTGCATGGGTGCGCCAAGGCTTCGCCGCGCTCGCGCCTGTGAAAGCATCCCTCCCTGCGACAAGCTGTCGGAAGGCCTCGTGCCGACAAGGTGGGCCATGGTGGTCGCCATGGGCCATCTTGGGAGGCCCCGTGGGGGCGTCCTGGGTTCATGCCACGCCCGCGCTGTCGCCGCGAGGGGACTGGATGGGGCGCGCCCGCCTCGTTCAGGAAGAACTCCCGTGGGTCTGGACGGAGAGGGCCGCGAGGCGTCAGAGCGTCCAAGATTGCCCCAGATGGCTCCAAGGTGGCCTCAGGCAGCCCAGGATGGCGTCAATCACGGCGTCCAGCATGCGCCATTTCGCTTCCCAGGGGCCTCGGAGGCGTCAAGATGGCTCTGCGATCGTCCAAAAGAGCCCCAAGAGGGACCCACAGGTGCTCCAAGACGGTCCCGAAGGCCCCCAAGAGCGCCCCAAGAGCCTCCCAAGAGGGCCCCACAGGGCTATGCTCCGGGCTCCGAAAAAAGGGGTCATCTGGGACCCCCCCCATCTTTAATCGACCTCCTTCCAGAGCGGCCCCAAGAGGGGCAACAAAAAGACCACAGCAGCCCTGCGGGCCGCCCGTCTCGGCCTCGTCACCACCTCGTTCGCTGGCTGGCGCTTCTGAGCTTTCAGGTGGCCGCCCGTCGCTGCCTCGTCGCCACCTCGCGCGCTGGGTTTGCAGGGGCTTCGGCTGGCGGGCGCCCGTCGCTTGCCCGCCCCTGCCTCCAACGCTGAAATCAACACACTTCCCAGGCGCTCTGAGGCGCTGGACGCCGAAACCCCACCGAACGCCCAGACGGCCTCGAGCCGCCACTCCTTGAACGCCGCGTGGCTCCGAATCCCACCAGCCCTGCGGGCCTAAGTAATCATCTAGTAGGCTTCCTCTTCCATCAGGGCCCCATAAAAAAACTCGGATGAACCGAAGCTCTGGCACGCCCAAGAAAAGCACAGCCATGGGTCGAGGCATTCCTCGTCCTTTGTCTCCTCCCACTGGCTCTGGCAAAGTCCTGGTTTGCAAAGGCCTGGTGTCCAGGGCCCCGATTCCAATCCCCCATCTTCCCCTCTGCGCCAGACGACTCCCCCCCCCGCCTGGCGAAGCCTCCTGGAGCCCTCCTGGGGGCCTCTCCAAGGCGCCTCAGGGGGCTTC